AATAATGTAAAAAAAAATTTTAATAATAATAATAAAAAAATAATTATAATAATTAATTAAATAATAATAATTAAATTAAAATTTTAATAATAATAATTAAAAATTTAAAAATAATAAAAAAAATAATAATAATTTTAATAATAATAATAATAATAATAATAATAAAAATAATTAAAAATAATAAAAATAAATTTAAAAATAATAACAATAACCCAAAAACAAAAATAAAAATAATAATTAAATAATAATAATTAAAAAATTTTTAATAATAACAATAATTTATGGCACAGCCATATATATCGACCAAAATAGAATGTATTTACTAATACTTGCACAAGGGATGAAACATGGGGAAAATATAAAAGCCAAAATTTAAAAACCAAATTTCCTACAAAAACCTCTCACATTATAAACATTTACAGGTTACCAGTCAAACATTAGCCAATTTAGTCAAAAACCCTTGGGAAATAGATAACTGATGCCCCCAAGAACAAAGATCACTTACTACTCTAGGTGGGCTTCAATATAAATTTTTCCTGCAAGCCCGGGGCCCACAGTTACTGAAATTTCAAAAACAATGAGTAACGTAAAGTTGCTACCAACGTAACAAAAAACCCACAAGGTTACAGAGACTAGTGTTTTCCCCCTTGCCAAAATCTGGCCAAAAACCTTTTCCCCTTTAAATTTAGGGATAATTCAGAAATCCAAGGGCCACTACCCCAATTTTTTTATAACAACCCCTTGGTAAAATTTCCCCCGGGGACTATAAAGTCACCTTCAGACTTCACAATGAGGGGAAACCCCTTAATAACTTAAAAAACAGCAGTTTGGGAAACATTGGGTGGGAACTGAGCTAGAAATCTTACAGTTTTTGACCCAATGTATTAATAATTTTCTAAAAAAAACCCCAATTTCCCCCCATAAAAAAGCACTGCCCTTTAAAAAAAAAAAAAAAGATGCAGCTAAGGAAGGGAAAAGTCCTGGCTAACACCCCGCATTCTCAAATCCATAAATTTCAAAACACCCAAAATTGGAAAAAAAAATACGGAAAAGGGTCACATAACCCGAGACCCAATAAAAAGTTAATTTGTCAATCCTTTAAAAAAACCCCGATAAGAAGGGCAAAAAAATTTTATTATGAGAACAGGGTTATCCAAAAATTCGGGTGATTAAAAAAGACCGGGAAAAAACCCCCATCAGAAATTTTTTGGAACAAAAAATTTTCCCGAAATTTCCCAAAAAAATTTTGCCAAAAATTTAGAGGGAAACCCCAATTTCCCCCCAACCAGAAAAGCAAACCGACCCCAAAGGGCTTCCCTTTCCCCCCTTTTGGACAAAACCTTGCCAATTTTAAAAACCCCCAAGCTTTTAGATACCCCAAAATTTTCTACCCCCGGGAAACTAACCCCAACCAACCACTTTTTCCAGCTCCGACCCCCAAGAAATCTCCCTTTATCAAAAAACTAAAAAACCCAAAGGGAGGGGATTTTTAAAAAATTTAATACAAAAACCCTGTGTGCTTTCCCTTTTTTGGGCCCTCCTTTAAAAAACCTTTAACCCCCCCCTTCCCACAATATAAAATTGGGGGGGTTCCCCCCTCCCCAAAAGGAAAACCAAATCGGGGAAAACCGGGGCCATTACCCCCCCTTCCCCCCCCCAAATCTTCGAAAAAATTCCCCAAAAGGAACTATTCCAAACCCATCCCAAAAAACAACCAAACCCCCCCAAAATTTTTTCATAAAATCCCTTGGGGTTATAATTCCCAACATTCAGCCAAATACCCCCCATGGGGAAAAAAAAGCCCAATGGGGCCCAAAACTACCCCTTTTGATTCCCCCTTTTAAAATTCTACGTAAAAAAATTTTCATTAATTTTAAGAGGGAATTTTTCAACTTTTGTTTTTATTCCTTTACAACAAACCAATTTTTTTATCAAACCGGGGGGGCCTTTTTTTCCAAATTTTTTTTTTTTTTCCC